GCTGTTCCAGTCTTTTTTGGATAATCTTCAGTAGAATCTTGCTTGCATGTGAAATCAATGATATTGTTCTATAGTTTCCACACTCTGTTGGGTCACCTTACCACTAGGTCATGAAAAATCCTCAAACGAAAAACCAAGCTCCATGTTTTTCTGAGGCTCTAAATATTAACAGGATAGACTGACTGCCCATCTCTTTTTCTCTTGGAGTAGCTGGTGACCCAAACTGTTAACCTTCTTGTAAGCAGCCCATCACTCAACCTAGATGCCACCAGAGCTCCTGTGCGTAGGTCATAAAACTCTGAGCACATACACTGCCATCAAATTGGTTCCAACTCATAGTGGACGTGGACCCCTCACCCCTTTTCTGAGGCTGTGAACTGTTACCAAAGAGGAAACTGTTCATCTTTCTCTATCTCCTGAGTCACTTGTGGATTCTAACTGTGGACCTTTGGGTTAGTAGCCTGATACACTAGGACATTACACCATATGAGCGATCCTATAGAGGTCCCGGAACCCAGTAATCTCCATGGTCTTATATTAGCGATCTATCTGTCATTTAATACCTGGATCATGCCAATGAAATTTATCAAAATGTTAAATGTAACAAAGAAAATAAATGCAAGTGATTCTCCAAATGCTTAGCATTAAGATGAAGATCATTTAATGTGCTCCTAACAGCAGGCTCTATCAAACTTCCTGCTATGATTTTCTGTCTACTTGGCAAGATGTTCTATTTATACAATTTAAAAAATCTGCATGCTTTTTAAAATTTCCCTCAGCTACAAGAACTGAAAATCAACATGCAAAATAAAACATATGAGGAACAATAATATTTACATTTTTAACAAAAACTCAAAGCCTAAATGCTGTCTGACAGAGGAAGATCAATATAGAAAGGTAGGAAAATACCATTTGTCAGTGTTAGAAATTCTGAAAACTTTCCCTTTTATAAAAAAAAATAAAGTTTATCAAGTTACTTAACAATGAACTACATTAGCTAATTCTTTTATAAATTTTCTGAGTGCCAGAAATGTATCAGATCACTTTATTATTTCAGGTCAAAGTATGTATGGAAGGTATCTTTGTTCAACAAATATTAACTGAGCACCTACTATGGGGACAATTTAATATTATAAGTACAGGCAGTGAACAAACAAGGTAAATACTCCTGACCCAAGGTATTCTGAGGTATGAATCTGTGTGCTGAGAGATGGAGGTGATGATATATATATGTTATTCTCAAATTCTCTCCTCCAGTTAAACAAAAGAAAAGGAAAAAAACTCCCAACAAAGTCCCTCCACGTTTAATCTTTTTAAAAGTAGTAACAGATTTCTCCAGCCACCTCAATGTTATGAATCTATGAAGGTTTCCTTGAGTTCCTATTTCAGAGAGGTGACAGAATGTAGACTGTGATTCATTAAATATGGGGACATTATCAGGTCAACCCAGCGTTGAAATTTATTGCCTTAATTTTCCTGTAACTGCAAATACAGATGAACTAAGAGAAGTCCAAAGAGACTCAAGTCTGCCAACAACACCCAAAAATGCAAGAATTCAATGCCTGAAGGAGACACAGGGCATTTCCAGACATGACCTTTATTGCTGCTGT